GAGGGGGAGGGGGAGAAGGGAGAGGGGAGTGAGTGCCTGGCGGGTGACTATGGTAACCTTCCAGAGATGGGACGTTCTGGAGCCGAGGCAGAGGTGGCCTCAGCCACAACAGTGTGAAGACACTAAATACCACAGACACAACACTGACAAATGGTGAATTTGGTTATGTGTATTTTATCACAAGTGAAATGTAAAACTTAAGATAAGAAAGCACTTGCCTACCGGTCACGTGGAAATTAAGGATGCAGAAAAATTTAAAAAGATGCCCAAATTGGCCATGGCTATGTCAGGATGGTGGGATAGTAAAACGTTACTTGTGGGCCCCCCACGACCTCCGAGACCCTCCATGGACACTGCATGTCCTGCTGTGTGCCGGGCACCTCCCACAAGGCAAGATAGGAGACCTGAGGCCTGGCAGTGGGCATCGCTGCTCCAAGGCCCTGCTGGGGACTTCGGAAACTCGCTCGGGTAAGCCAGCTGCCCAAGGTCACTGAGCGATAAAAAGCAGCTGAGATTAAGGCCCAGTCTGGATGCCCCCAGTGACACTCCTGAGTGACAACCCCTGGGTCTCCACTCTGTACCCCCCTGCCCCACCCCTATCCCTACAAACGACTTTTCACAGTGTCAATAACTGGGCTTCAATCTTGCTTCCCTATTGATAAGAAAGCACAAAGCGATGCCCCCTCCCTAGGGAGCATCTTCTCTTTATGGGGACTCTGGGTGGGGGGGGGCTGCTACTGGCCAAGCTGACTGCTCAGGTGGCAGCTGACTCGCAGGCAAAGTGGGAGAAAGGGAAGCAGGATTGCGGACACAGAGACTAGAGACAAAGGGACAGCAGAGACCTCTGGGACATTCTTGCGTAAGGTCCCCAGGGGAAACAGCAGCCCGGACCAGAGGCCAGGAGCATTCAGTTCCCTGCAGACATGACTGTGCACAACAGCTTCCCCAGAAAGTACCAGAAGGAACACAGTCCTGTCTGTATCCCGAAAAGATACATCCACGCCTCACCTCCCCCCACCCCCGACCCAACCTGTGAATTGTACTTGAAAACATAATTTTGTAGGAAAAGGGTTTTTGCAGATGTGGTGAGGTTAAGGGTCTTGAAATGAGTTGGTTCATCCTGGATTATGCCGATGACGGGGCCCCCACCTGATGACAGGTGTCTTAATAAGAGACCAAGAGGACAGATGCTGGCATGTGACAGCGGTGGCAGAGACCAGGCATGTGCTGCCACAGGCCCAGGGACCCCTGGAGCCCCCAGAAGCTGGAGAGGCCAGGAAGGATCCTTCCCCAGGCCACTGGAGGGAGCAGGGCCTGCTCACACCTTGGTTTTGAACTTCTGGCCTCCAGAACTGTGAGGGAAGACGCTTCTGCCGGTTTAAGCCACACAATGTGTGGAAATTCATTACGGCGGCCACGGGGAAGGAACACAGCAGCCCTTCAGGACGGAAAATCCCGAGCCAGGCAGCTGGCTTCTTTCCTTCCACGGCTTCACCCCGTGTCTCTCTCCTGGCACTTCTTCTGAATGGAAGGCAATTTCCCCCGAGGGGAGAGAAACAGAAGCTGACTGAAAGGGCATTTTACAAACGCCACACCCATCCCTCCAATCACTCTCCCTCTGGGCGGGCTCGGAGAGTACGCAGCCTTGGAAAGCACCCATTTCTGGAAGCCGCCCTGACCTCGTCTGAGGGGTGAACTCACGACTCCTGGGGGGCGAGTGGTTCTCACACGCAGAGAGCCAGCACTGCTCGGGGTGGGGCGGTCACAGTGAGGCCCTGGGGAGGAAGAGTGGCTGCAGTTTGGGACAAACCACAGAAAAACAGTGTTTGTCTGCGAGGAAAGAGTGAGGAGGGAGGTTCCCGGTTTTAATTTTTTTTTTCCATCTTGAAACTGGCAGCATTTTTGATATGATTGCGGGGGGATTTCCACCAACCAAAGTAAGAAAATTCCGTTTTGACAGTTCACTGCCAGGAGAGAAGGAGCCTTGCAACCTTTGTCACTTAAAGACGAGAATGTTTGTCTCCTTCCCAACAAGGCGGGCAGGCTCCTGCAGCGGGCTGGCTGGCTAGCGCTCAGTCTCCCAGAAGTCCCTGGGTCCTGGGCCAGGGACGGGGACAGGGCTAGGGCATGTCCCCCAGGAGCAGTGCGGAGGATCGCATTTGACCCCCAGGGAGGGGCTGAGAGCTGCGCTAAAGAAGGAAGCATTCGGAGGGGCCCCAGGCCCCAGGTCAGGCCCACAGAAGCAGCTGGCCCCAGGGAAACTGCTCTCTAAACAAAAATGGTTTTGAAAAATCAGCCGGCCAAAGGGGAATCGCTTCACAAGTTGCACATTCACTTCTCCCTTTAACTGTGCAATTGAAGAAAAACAAGGTGAAGCAGGAACTGACTCCTCAACCCCCCCCCCACTTACACCCCCCCAAAACCTCCTGTCCACAACCGTGCTGGGCTGCCGGGCGCGGAAGGTAATGGGTCTGCAGCTGGTCTCCGATTCCACGTAGACTGTGTGCCCTGCAATCTCCCGCCCCACGCTCCCCCCCCCCAACCCGCCCCCCAGGAGGAGGCGCCCGCTGGGTCTCAGCACAGCCCCGGGCTCCCAGTGAGACCTCGTAAACACTCGCCACACCTAGTAGAGCAAGAGAAAGGAAGGCGCCCGCAGGCCGCTACAGGCTTCATGCACCTGGACCGGGGCCGCAGAAAAGCAGCTTGTGCTGCTGCAAGGGGCCACTCGCCCTGACTCCAGAAACGTCTACATTCTCGGAGAGGCCAGTGCTGTTTCTAAACACGGGCAAGGAGGCGTGGGTAGCGGGGCTGCGAAGGAGGTTGTCTGCGCAGCAGGCAGCTGCCTGCTGGGTTTGAAGAGCGCTCAGCCCCGCACGCCGCAGCGCCCTCCGCTGCTCCGAGAAGTCCCTGAAAGCACCAAGAAGGAATCTATCCGCGGAGGCTCCGGGCTGTGCCCGCCCCCCTCCCCGCCCACCCAGCCAGGGCGGCCGCATCCTCAAGTGGAGAAGCCAAACGTCCGCAGCACTCGGAAAGGCTAGGAGGTCAGAAGAGAAAGGTCTGCTTCTGACTCCCTGCGTTTGGTGCCAGCTCTCGGTAAATCAGAAGCCTCTTCATCCCCCCCACTTAATCCCACCCGTCAAACCTGGTGGTTGATGAGAGGAGTGCGTTCACAGCCAGCGAGTCTCCCCCCACCCCCGCCGCCAGAGAGCGGTCCGCACACATCCAGCTAATCTGCACGGGCAGCCTCCGGCTGGTAACCGCTTTGGCATCTGAACCAGCCGGGATCCTGGAGAGCTACTTGCAAACAGTGTGGTTTGGCCAGGTAACTGTTCTGAGCCCGAGACCACTGGAAACTTGAGGCCGCACCATTCATCCCTTGGTTAGCCGAGGACACCCTTGTGAAAAAAGAATCGACTTGAAGGGAGGGCGGGGAGGTCCCTCGGGCATCAGTCACCGGACCAGAACCCCGGGGCACTGTCAGGCTCTTCCGGGAGTGAGCGGGGGTTTGGGTTCTCGGTTTGAAGGTCCCTTCGGAGCAGCGAGACTTCAGAGCGAGGGCTCCCCGCGCGCCCAGAAAGAAACACCGCCCTGCATACACGCGCGACTGTGCAGAGCGTTTCTGAGGGTGGTGCCCGAGGGGGCTTCTCCGCAGAGGCCCGGGTGAAGAAGCCCCACTTGGCAGTATGGGGAGGTCCCAGGCCCGCCGGCGCTCCCTCCAAGGGGGCACCTGAGCCAAGGGAAGGCTGCCCCATCAGCGGAGGGGTCCAGAGCGCTTCCTCCGCACACTGGGCAGATCCCAAGGGAGCCGCACCGGGACGTGGCGCGTGGGCCGCCTCAGGGCGTCCCCCACCCCCGACCTGGGAAACCCCATCCTGATCCTCTTCCACTTGAGAAAGCGCGCCTTTCGAGGCCTCCCAGCAGCCCTCTCTCAGCCTTCGGGATCCCCCTGTCCCCACCAGGGCAGAGCGCAGCCTGGACTCAGTGCCCCCTGGTCGCCACGAAAGGTTTCCCTGTTCCCCTCGCCAGGATTTCAAAATAAAGACGCGCAGAGGAGGAAGCCTAAATAAAAACAGGAAACTCGATTTTTAAAAAAAGCCTCATTCAGGCTGAATTACGGGTAAGAGCATTAAAAAGAAGAAGAAGAAAGAGAGTCCGGAAATGCAAAGCTGGAGGCGGTCTTGCCGCTGTAACCCGGGACCCGCCGCAGATCAGGGGGCTGATTTCGGCGCCGCTGCAGTGAACACGCGGCGCGGCGGGCCGGACAGGAGACAGACCCGGCCGCAGGTCCACGAGCCCGGAGCGAGCGCCCGGCACAGCCCAACCCGGCTCTCTCCAGCCCGGGTCCTCGCATGCCAGGGAGGGCGTGCAGGGTCCGGGCGCCGGGACAGAGTGCGTGTCCCTCTCCCCCCCGCCTCCGCCGGAGCCCGGGGATCGGCGCCGCTCGTGCGAACGCAGCCGGCAGCCTGCCTGGGGCGGCCCCTGGTCCCGCTCGCCTGTGCTCAAGACAGGGCGCACTCAGCTGAGCGCTCCCCACCTCCCGCGCCTCGGAGGGTGCACGCGAGGCCGCCCCAACGTTGAAAGCGGAGCTGGGACTCTGCCGCCGAGCCGCGGAGCTGTTTGCACCCCTCTAGGAGAGCGCACCGGGGGCGGCCCCGGGGCCCCTAGTTCAGCTCCCGCCCAGGCCCCAGCAGCCCTCCCACGGGGCGCCCCTAGCCGGGCTCGCTGGACGAGGGGATGCGCACTGGACAGGGCGCACCGGCTGTGCGCGCGGGGAGACCCTGCGAGCTGGCCCCACGGCTCCACGAGGCTCCCTGAAGCCCTTGGCCCCGGTCCTCTTCCCCACCTCCCCAGACGCAGCCGGAGGCCAGCGCTTACCGGTCCTGGTGCCACTGACAGGCTTGGGATGGCTCGGCCCAGCGGCCGCCTTGAGCGAGGGCGCTGGGCGCGAGTGAGCCTCGAGGGAGGGGGCGGGGCGTGATGGGGGCGCCCCGCCCGCTGACAGCCCGCACACTCCACTTCCCACTTTGTTTCCTTTTTACTTGCAACAGGAAAAACAACAGGTCCTCCTGCTGCCTCATCTGCTCCCCTGCCCTCCCCACCTCCCCACCCCACCCCGACTTCGGCTGGAGTGTGTCACCCCGTGCGCCTCTGGAAGCTCCACCTTGCCCTTCTTCAAAACAAGTTTTTCTTCGTATATATATAAAAATATATATACGAAGGAAAACAACCAAATAAAGGTCATGGAGCCCATACCAGCCCTCCAGGCACTGCGGGTTTACACACCCAAGAACTTCAACAATGGCCAGAGAAAGGCAGAGTGGGGGGTTAGTGGGGGGTGAGGAAGGGCAGGCGAGGCCAGGAGCAGGGCAAAGGCTCCAAGTGCACCCAACGCAGTCCCCCGGGGAGTGGTGGCCTCTAAGCTTTGGTGAGCAGAGAGGGTGGGAGGGGCCTAGCCCCCTCAAGATCATAATAGTGACTTCAAATCACTTTGGGATATGGGGGTGGGGGTGGGTAAGCTGGTTAATCGATTGGTCTCTCAGTGGAAGGAAGGTCCCCTGTAAAGAATTTTTGAGAGCAGACCCCGTGTGGTCCAGTGGGTTGGCCATCGTCTGGCAAATCGAAAGGTCACCAGTTCAGTTCCTGGTCAGGGCACATGCCTGGGTTCCGGGTTCAGTCCCTGTCATCCGGGCATCTTTGAGAGGCAGCCAGTCGATGTTTCTCTCTGGCATTGATGTGTCTCTCCCTCTCTTTTTCCCTCCTTTCCCCTCCCTCTAAAAATGAATACATAATATCTTAAAAATAGTTTATTCAAGCCGAACTGCAGACAGACGCTGGGAGCAAGATCTCAGATGCCCCTCAGAACACCAGCCTCATGGTCTCTTCGATGCTTTTGGAATCAAGACAGGAACCTAGGATCCGGTTTCCAGAGGTGCATGAACCTGAATGCACAAGGTTTGCTTAAGACACAGAAAAGCCTTTTAGTAAAGACGTTGTAGGCCTGGGGCGCGCATGACTCCCCACCGTGACTGGCGCAGTTAGGAATTTATGATCAGATCACGCTGTGAGGTGACTTTCCATAGAACCCTCCCCCTTCTTTCCATTCACAGCCAGGTCTGGGAGGTCGAGCAGCTATTTGATTTCCTTGGACGGAGGGGCAAACCGAAGCTCGGAGAGAGGCTCTGTCCACCCAAGGCTGGCCTTCTGGCACCAGCTTGGGCCCGGCAGTGGCAGCAGCAAGGGGAGGTGCACAGCCGCTTCTGTTCTTAGCCAGGAAGAGGGAGAGAGCTTGAGCACCTTAAAACTCATGAGTGAGTTTTCACTGGTCCCAGTTTGCTGGCTCCAGACCCCCCCCCCCACTGGATACATGTGGGGGAGCCGGGAGGGTTGACCGGTCCCTTTGGGGAAGAAGGTTGGGTCTGTCACCAGAAGTGAACCCTAACGTTCTTCTCACAGAACATCTGAGGCTCCGGTCTCACCCCGACCACGGGCCTGGATCACCGGTCCTTTGCAGGGGTCTCCAGCCCCCTCCAGGGAGATCCTGCCAGAAGCCAGGGGAGAAATGGACCTGTTCAGACCTGGCGGCAGGGTGGACAGCCTTTCCTGGGATGTCCCAGCGCCTGTCCTGGCCCTGCGTTGGCGAGGCTGCAGTTTAAACGCTAGTCCCTGCTTTTCAGTGCTCATCGGAAGAAACGGCCAGAGGAAGACTATTTCCACATCATCCAAAAGAACTCGTCATGGAATAGGTATCCGCTGACAGCCATTGGAGTCTGGCACTGGGACACGCCCCAGCTGAGCGAGGTAGACCTTATCATTCACCCTGGATGGATAAGTACAGCAAGGCGGAGAAAGGCTGAATCATGTCGGAGGGAGCCAGCCACACCAGTGTCTGACGGCTTCCAGATAGATCCTCGCTCCTTCGAAAGTTTCACTTTCCCGAAAACCCGATGAACTTCCTTTTTGAAACCACACATTCGGACAGCCTCCTCTGCGGGGGGAAGGGGGCAGGAAACTCGGGCTAACTGTAATGTCAGGTCGGCACCTTTCCTCCCCCAGCTGCTCTTCTCCCCCAGGTTCCTCATAGACTTGCCCCCTTCCTTCCTCTATGGTTTTCTGATGCTCTTTCTCACTTTACTTTTAACTGCTGCCCTGTGTGCTTTGGAGGAAGCTACTTCACGTTCCCTTCGAATTGTGAGTGAAGCGGACCAGTGAGGAACCGAGAGCCGCCCCGGAGGAAAAGAGGCCCCTCACTGTAAGGATGGCACCCATATGCGCCCGCCCGAGCTCCCGCCTGGGGAGGCCTTCGGCCCCGTTTTTTGAAAGGAAAGCAGGTCTTCGTTTACAAGAGGACGGAGGACTCAGGCTCCGATGCACAGACGAGGCTGCAGGCCACAGCCCTCCACGCTGCTTCCTTCATCCCTGCCACCCACTCCTGCGAACGTCCCCCTCCAAGAGCCAGCAAAGCCTCCGAAGCCACTCGCAGTTAGCAGCTCTGCCTCGTTCAGCCTCCAGCGGCTTCACCACTGACACCCACGCATGCTTATGAGCAGGGTTATCTCAGGGCAGCCAGAGCCAAGCTTAGCACCGGGTACTGGGGTGCAAGCTGGTGGGGGGGGGCACTTCCTCAGCGCCTCCACGAACAAACAAACGACTCCAGACACCTGCCTCCATGCCCCGTCCTGGCGGGAAGCCCGCTTTGCTGCCTGTCCTTCCCTTCCAGGCAGAGCAAAACTTGCCCAGCTCAAACCCTTGTCTTTTTGCCTTGGCCAAGGAAAGTGCGGTGAAGCTTCGGGGTTAAGGGCTTCTTCCCTGCAGCCAGACTGCCCCGACCTGCCAGGCAGGGCTGTGTGACCTCAGGCATGTGACTTAACCTCTCTGTGCCTCAGTCTCTTCATCGGAAACACAGGGACGCTGATAATGGCTCTCAGCTCTTAGAATTGCTGCCGAGATCGAACAGCACCTGGCATAGGATGACCCCCCCCTCAAAAAAATGTGAGTTATTTTTTCTAGAACAGAGTCTTTGTGTTTTGCAGGACTGGTGTTTCTACTCAGGACCAGAACCTTTCAACAGTGGGAACAGCAGGTTGTGACATGTTAACACATCAGTGTCCTGCACATCCATTCGGGGGGGTCAAGTTCACGATAACGGAGCAGAATCGAAAATATCCAACTACATTCTGTGTGGTCAGAGTGGGTATCGCTCCCCGAGGCTTCCGTCCCAAGTTGAGGCTGGTGCAAGGGTGCGTCGTTAAGTCAAATGAGTGTCTAACTGCAGCTCCCGGTGGGCAGAGCCGGAAAGCGGCTGCCCCGACCAGGTCAGGGCGGTGGCAACCACCGGGGAGCGTGGCAGACAGGGAGAGGCTCCTGGGAAAGTCTGACTTGGGCTCAAGGTACATTTCGCCACTGTGCCACACACCTGAAACCAACACCAAGTAATATGGAAGGCCAATTGTAATTGAAAAACAATTTAATTTAAAAAAAAAGAAAAGAAAAAGGTCAAAACTGGAAAGATTAAGTGCATTGGATAAAACAAAGGGGAAACTATTAGACCACAAACAAATAAATGAAGAAGCAGCAGTAGGCTTTTAAACAAACCCTCTCAGGTTCTTCCCGCTGTGGGGCAGAGGGACTGTGGACAGGGGCTGGTGGAGGAGCAGGGTGTGAGGTCCTGAGGCTGGCTCCACCCTCGGCTTCCGTACCCTGGGGGCAACCCAGGCTTCGCAACACTGACTCAGCCCCCACACTGTGCTGCCGGCCGGCAGGGCTCTGCGGTACAGCCCCTATAAGCCAAAGACCCGCCCTCCTCTCCTGGAGTTTACACGCTGTGGGGAAAGAAACTATGAAGAATAGAAAGAAGATACAGTGTCATAAAGTAGTAAGTACTGCAAAGAAACATCAGACAGGTTAGAAAGGGGGGGGGAGGCAGGGGAGGGGACCATGGAGTCCGGAAGGCCTCTCTGAGGTCAGGCAGGGCATGAATGAGGTGAGAGAGGAACCCTGCCTGCAGGTGTGGAGAACAGAGCATCCCGGGCAGAGGGAGCAGCCAGTGCACAGGCCCTGGGCAGCGGCAGGTCAGAGGGGTAGCAAGGAGACCAGGGAGGCTGGGGGGTGAGGTGGGTGGGGTGGAAAGAGCATGGAGGCGGGGTCTGGGGCAGGGGCAGCTGGGAATGTGGGATTTGGCTGAAAGAGTCTTCAGAAGCAGAAGGTGGGCTCTAACCTGAGCCGGGGTGGGCTGGGCCGTGATTTACATGTGAAAAGTCCACCACAGGCTCTGCCAACCGCAGTGTCCTAGAAATAGCAACACCAAGCAGCTGTAAGGGTATGCCCAGCACTTAGACCTAGGGTTCTTTCTCTTAAAAAATTTTTTTTAAATGTATTTAAATTCAGAGAGGAAAAGGGAGGGAGAGAATCACTAATCGGTGGCCTCTCACACACCGCCAACCGGGGACCGGCCTGCAGCCCAGGCACGTGCTGTGACCGGGAACTAAACCGGCGACCTTTTGGTTCTCAGGCCAGCCCTCCTTCCGCTGAGCCACATCAGCCAGGGTGAGACCTAGGTTTCTACTCCCATTCTCTTCTGTGAAAGCAGCCAGGTCTCCTTGGAGAAATGACGGATTCTAGGATGGGGGCAGAAGTGCCAGCTGCTCAAGAAGTGCCCCCAAACTACAACACAAAGGCCACCAAGAAGGGAGGTCTGTCCGAGGGACACGGTGGTGACATGGGCAAGTTTCCAATGGCCCGATCTGGGACAGCTGGAGCAACAAGACAGCACTGGATTGGAACCAAGACAGGAAATAAGCATCTGTGAGCCCAGACGGACGGAGACGGACGGACAGGTGGGGGAGACCGGCAGGTCTCCTGTCGGAAGAATGCCAAGTTCGTCGTGTGGGAGCCTCGCCCGCCCTCAGGGCAGCGAAGCTCCAAGTCCCCGCCCCTTCCATGTGGGCTGTGCCCCGTGACTTCCTTCCAAGGAGGCCAGTATGAAAAGGGGACAAAGAGAAACGTCCAGTGAGGACACGGGGCAAACGCCGCCTCAGCCAGGTGGCCGAGGTCACGTCAGCAGGGACAGGTCATGCCAACAGCAGGCAGCCTCGGTCTGGCGTGAGGAGGGTGACAGTTTGGCTTTGCCGGTGTCCTGGTGGGAGCCCACAAACGGGTCCCACGGGGCAGAACACACACAGAGCCAGGGAGGCCTGCAGAAGCCCCGGCCACGGCCCTCGGGCTGGTGAGCGGTCACAGACCAGGAAAGAAACTGTCATAACCCAGAGGGGCCCGAGGAGACCTGGCCACTCGGCGTCCTGTGCGGGCTCCTGGGACACGGGAAGGCCGTCAGGGTCAAACTCAGGTGAGCTGAAGGAAGGGCGGACTTGACTGAACAACGACACATCAAGGCTGGTCCATCGGCCGTGGCAGAGGCCCCTGGGGATGCAGGGCGGCAGCGGACGGAGGAACTAGGTGTGGGGAATGAAGGCTCTACGCTACCTTTGCACCCCCTCTGTAAATCTAAACCCAGTCTAGAATTGGAAGTTCATTTAAGGAAAAAATGTCAGAACGGCCGTGGTGGGGAGGGAGGCAAGACCCGGCCAGTCCCCGGGAGCCGAGAGGGGTGCGCAGGGCGTGGGCCATCAGGTTAAAAGCCTGGAACACAGTCGTTGGGGGATGCGGGGTCCCAGGAGGTGGGGGGAGTGAGAAGGCCAGGCCTATACTCTGGCCCTGGGGAGTCTGCTCTTGGACTCTGATGGAGTGGGGATGGGGGGTGGTATTGAACCTTCTCCCCTGGGGACCCCGAGACCCAGCTCTGCCCCCACACCCTGCGGTCCATCCCCTCCCATGCAAAATGGGGTTTGTTGTTTCACCCACAGTGTGAAAACTGAACAGCCGGTGGATGGGCGGGGGCTCCTGAGCCCCAGGCACCTAAGCCGTAGCTTCGCCACTGGCTGGTGGCCGTCCTAGACCCTGCAGTCGGGTGACAGGAAGGCTCTGGGGCTCCTGGACAAGCAAAGGCAGCGAGTTGGCTCATGAACCGAAGACAAGAGGAAGAACATGGGTCCCCTCTGCACTGTGCAGGGCGGGCTTTGTCCCCTGGCCACTGCTGTCCAGAGAGAGTCAGGGACCCCCCAGTTCATGGAATAGGACGCGGCCCTGAGCATCATGGGAAACGGCCACACTGCGTGTTGCACATGCGCCCCCGGGGACCCAGAGTGGTGAAAACTGTGGGAGGGGCGCGGGTGTTTTCTTCCCATCTTTTACTGTCTGTCCTCAGCCCATGGGAGCTCCAGGCGGGAAAGTGCCGGGCGGGGAGAGCACTGGACCCCTGGGGCGGACGCCAAGCCCCCTCAGTGTAATGCTCCTGGACCCCCGTAGGGCCCATGGCGACGGCAGCCCACAGTCTTGGCTTACCTGTGCCCGCCTTTGGGATTGTCCTGCCCGGGAGGTCACCTGCCCCCGGTGAGCCAATCAGCGATTGTCCCCAGGACTATGGAATCAGGACCAAGAGAACCGTCACTCTCCGGGTACCTGGAGCCTGGGCCCTGGGCCAGCAAGCTGAGGGACTGGGGGGCCCTTGGTCTATCAAGAGAACTAAAGAAAGCGGAGAAGCTGCTGTACAGGGAGAGGCTGAGAGGAAATCAGGAGGCAGAGAGGGAGAGGGGGTCACAGACCAGAGACGCCTTCGGGCAGCCTTCCGGCTCCTGGTCCTTGTACCCTAGTGAGGTTCCCTGGCATCTGTGCCCGAGGCTTCTTCTGAAAGGCCCCCCACACCCTTACGCCTTATCCCCCTGTTCTGCTTGAAATCTGTGTCAGTTTCCTGGGGCTGCTGGGACAGATCCCAGTGGCTTAAAAACAACAGATACGTGTTCTCTCGGTTCCAGAGGCCGTAAGTAAGCCGGCAGTCCGGGCGTCGGCAGGGTCCAGAAACTCTCGGGAAGACTCTGTCGCACACCCATCTCCTTCGCCTGGCCGCCTGCCTTCCTCAGAGTTCAAGGGCTTGGAGGTGCCTCTCTCTAGTTTTAGAGAGACAACAGTCAACCCAGTGCAAACCCTCTTGAGTTGGTTTACATTATTTGAAACAAACAAACCCCAGGGAATGCATAAATTGGTATCAGAAGTGGGGTGTTGAAAGAGACAGTTTTTCAAAAACAGTATTGAAACTAGACGTCTTGCAACAGAGGGAGGGGCACCGAGCACTCGTTATTCCTGGGCAGGACACTGGCAGCTCCTGCCCCGTGGCAACAGACCAGTTAAAACTATCTCCAGCCCTGGCTGGCGCGGCTCAGTGGATTGAGCGTGGGCCTGTGAACCAAAGGGTCGCCGGTTCAATTCCCAGTTAGGGCACATGCCTGGGTTGCAGGCCAGTTCCCAGTGGGGGACTCATGAGAGGCAACCACACATTGATGTTTCTCTCCCTCTCTTTCTCTCTCCTTTCCCTTCTTTCTAAAAATAAATAAATAAATAAAATATTTTTTAAAAAGAAAGAAAGAAACTTGGCAGCAAGACGTCGGGGATACGGGTTGTGTATGTTACTCCTCGCGGCCTTCAGACGGTGCTGTGAGTTGAGCTTTGTTTCAGTTCTGCTCGAGAGCAGGAAAAAACGGGGCAAATATTCGACTTTGTCAGGAGAAACTCTTTTTCCCTGGAGCCCGTAACTACCAGGCATCGGATTACCACGCCCCTGCTACGCGGCAGCCCTGCGCTCCCAGCCACGCCCTGTTTGTGGCACTAAGGTGGGCGCACGCTGAACTGAACGTCCGCGAGCTCCGGAGTTGGGATGGGGGTGCCTGGGACGAGCCGCGGGGGTGACAACTCTTCCCCTGCAGCGCCCGTGGTCGGGCGGCCTGAGGCCGGCCAGGGGCAGCATTCTCAGGGAGATGGGAGAGAAAGTCCTCCTCCCACCCCAAGGCAGGTGATGGGCTCCTCTTCTCACCCACGAGAAGAAAACCCCATCCAGGGGCATGGCCCGGTCCAAGGCTGAGTATTGAACTGGACAGGATGTCACAAGATTGGTTATTGGTAAGTGACGTGACTCAAAGGAGAACTGACAGACAATCAGCTAGGGTTTTGTGGGGGTTGAAACTCCAGGACCGCCCCCCCCCCCGCAAAAAACCTGGAAACTGGAGTTTGAAATGCTCGCCTTCCAGGGATTCCTAGGCCCATGTGCGGCGCCTACAAGAAGCAGGCCGGCCCTGGCCAGGGTGGCTCAGTTGCTTGGGCATGGTCCTGTATACCATAAGGTCCCGGTTCAACTCCCAGTCAGGGCACTTGCCTGGGTTGCGGGTTTGGTTCCCTGTACCGGCCTCTACAGGAGGCAACCAATCAGTGTTTCTCTCACACTGATGTTTCTCTCTTTCTCTCCCTTACTCTCTCAAAAAAAATATAT